CCTTACTGGGGGGCTGGCTCCCAGGGGATCATCCACACCCAGCAGGGGCCCCTTACTGGGGGGCTGGCTCCCAGGGGATCATCCACACCCAGCAGAAGTACAGAGCCCAGCCCTTGTCCCTCCCAGTTCTCAGTCCCCTCAATTGGCTATGAGAGGGAAACGAGCCTTCGCTGTGCATCTGTGAAGGATGCTCACATCCTGCGACCTATGTGAATGGTGACACTGCTGGGTAACTGCCCAGAGAGCGCCCTGGCATCATCATCACCTATGTGGTTTTGTTTTGCTTTGTTTTATGTCAATTGTAGGGCTTGAACTCAGGGTCTGGGCTGAGCTTTTTTTTTTGTTCATGGCACCACTTACAGTTTTCTGGTGGTTTATTGAGGATAAGAGTCTCATGGACTTTCCTGCCTGGGCTGGATTTGAACTCTAATCCTCAGATTTGAGCCTCCTGAGTAGCTAGGATTAATGGCGGGAGCCACCAGTGCCAGGCTCCATGAGTTTCTTTGTCGTTCCTTTTCTGCCCAGTACCAAGACAGCTACTTCACATCCAGGATGAGGTCCTGCCTGCCCTGGGAAGTCCACTTAACTACTTCAGGAAGCACTTATTTATTTGCTTCTATGTGTGTTCGCGTGTGCCATGCACATGCACACATGTGTGTTCCAGTCCTGGGGCTTGAACTCAGGAGTGTTGTCTCTTCGCTTTTGCCCTCAAGGTCAAGGTTTTACCACTTGAGCCACTGCTCCACTTCCAGTTTTTTTTGCTTGTTAATTTGGGAATAAATGTCTTCTGGATTTGGGGATAAACTTCTTCTGGGTTTTCCTGCCCAGGCTGGTTTCAAACCTTGATCTTCAGATTTCTGCCTCCTGAGTAGCTAGGATTTATAGGCATGAGTTATCTGGCTCTTTAACATATTCTTGCTCAGCTCTCCAGAGCATAATAATCATTTGGGCCAGTGTTCAAGGTCAGAGGAGAGAGTTACTCTTTTTTCTATGCGTTGCAGCTCAGGGAAGGAGTGTGAAGCTTATATAATAAGCTAACTAAGGAATGCTGTGTGCTTTTAATCGAGCTATTCCCCAATGCAGTGTTGAGCTATGAATCACTGTCTCCTATTCCCTGTAATGTATTCTCCCTAACTTCTCCTGCAAGTTCCCTTCCCATTTCTTTTTTTTTTTTTTCTTTTTTATTGTCTTGTCGGTCATGGGGCTTGAACTCTGGGCCTGGATTCTGTCCCTCAGCTCTTCAGCTCAAGGCTAGTGCTCTACCACTTGAGCCACAGCGCCACTTCTGGTTTTCTGGTGGTTTATTGGAGATAATAGTCTCTCGGAATTTCCTGCCTGGCTGGTTTTGAACCTAGCTCCTGAGTAGCTAGGATTACAGGCATGAGCCACCAGCGCCTGGCCCCTTCCCACTTCTTGTATCTGTGAATTGCAAAAAAAAAAAAAAAATCCCCACCCCAAGCTGGTGGCTCACATCTGTAATCCTAGCTATTCAAGAGCCTGAGATCTGAGGATCGAGGTTCCAGTTTCAACCTGGGCAGGAAAGTCCATGAGACTCTTACCTCCAATTAACCTCCAAAAGCCAGAAGTGAGTAGAGTACCAGCTTTGAGAGAAAAAGCTAAAGGACAGTGCCCAGGCCCTGAGTTCAAGCCCCATTACTGTCACACACACACACACAAATAGACACACAGCTGTATAGCTGATGTAGAGCAATAATCATTTGTCAAGTAATGGGCAATTAAAAATGGCTGCTAGCCTCCTGGGTCTCTTGGAGCTGTGAGACAAAGACAGAGGCAATAACCTCAGGGGACAAGGCTGTCCTCGAACAGCTGAGCAATGTGATCAAGTTGAAAGGGTTCTTTGGCTGGGAAATAAAAGATTCTACTGTTCATGGCCCTGAACACATTAATGAATAACCAGCATGTGGCCTCTGCTTCTGTCTGCAAGGTCATTTGTGCAGAAGGAGTAGGTAGGTACAAGTTTCCTTTTGTACTTGAAAGTGGGCCCAGAGCCCCAGACCATACACAATACACACACACACACACCCCAAACACACACACACCCCAAACACACACACACCCCAAAACAGAAACCGACTAATGGACTTTCCCTTGAGCCCTTCCTATGGGCCTCAGGGGTGAGGTCCCCTCTGCTGGGCGGTCCCCAAATATTTGCTAGTAGCTTTGGGCACACAGAGCCCAGTCCAGCCTTGGGCCCAGGAGTCCAGTAGTGCACACTGTAGGTCTAGCAAAGGGAGTGCTGGAAGCTTCTAGAGGAGGAGCACTCTGTCAGGCTTGAAGAGGGGCAGACTCTGGCACGGGGGATCCATCCTCTAGGAGTGGGATTCACAGCAGAATCTTAAGGCCTTTGACTCCTCTGGGACATCTAAGGAATCTGTCTCCATCTCCCAGCTGAAAGTGTCCGATGACACAGAGATAGGAAGAGGATCTACCACTGTCTTCAGTCCCATCCTCTGCTGTGGCCATACAACAGTCATGCAAATGCCAGGGACCTTACCTCCCCTCAAAAAAAATCCAATACCTAAGAATGTAACCCTTTGAAATCCAGTAAGCCAGGTGTGGTGGGACACACTTAAAATCCGAGCATTTAGGAGGCTGGGGCAGGAGGATTGAGAGCTCCAGGCCAGCCTGGGATACAATAGTGCAAACTAAAAACAATAACAAAAAGCCAGGTAGCAGTGGCTCACACCTGTTATCCTAGCTACTCAGGAGGCTGAGATCTGAGGATCAGGAGTCCATGACACCCATTTCCAATTGACCACCAAAAAGCCAGGTTTCAGTGGTGGTTTGTTTCAATGAGTGGATCATTAGGTGTGTCCTAACATGGCAGAGTCTTTATAAAATAAACACTCAGACAGGAGTCCACATGGCAAATGGAGACTGAGGTGGTGTCTTAGATTCTACCAGCCAAGGAGGGACCCCAGAAACTGGGAGAGAGGCCTAGGACAGGCTCCCAGGAGGGATTCTACCCCTCCTTTGGTGGTCCTGAGGTTTGAACTCAGTGCCTTGAACTTGCCAGTCAGGCACTCTACCACTGGACCACAAGTCCAGGCCTGCAGCTCAGGCGTCTACTAACCGTGGGAGAATGCAATGAACGTGCGATTGTAGCCCAGGCCGGCCTCCAGTTCTCAATCCTCCGGCCTCCACTTCCCAAGTCAGCATAGAAGGCGGGGCTTCCTCTCAGGGCAAGCGAGCCACCGAATTCACCGCGCCGAGAAACTTTCAGCGGAGGCGGGGCCTGAGCGGCGGAAGTGGGCGTGCCGCTCGACGTGCTCGGCACTCCCCAGGGCCTTCTCGGCATTCGGCCGGCCGCCCTGCGTCCGTCGCTCTTGGAGCTTGCTTTTTCGAGCATCGCAGTCATGTCGACCGCCATGAATTTCGGGACCAAGAGTTTCCAGCCGCGGCCCCCAGACAAGGGCAGCTTCCCGCTGGATCACTTCGGTGAGGACAGGACGCCGGTGGGCAGGGTTGCTTTCTGCGGTTCACAGAACAGGTGTCGGGAGAGTAGCGCTGGGCGTGAGGGGCGGGGCCTGGGCGGAGGCTCCGACGAGGGGTCCGAAGCTTTGGCGCGCGAGGGGCGGGGCTAACGCTTTGGGGCGTGTCCAGTGCTGGTGGGGCGGGTCTAATGCCGGGGGCGTGTCCAGTGCTGGTGGGGCGGGTCTAATGCCTGGAGGCGTGTCCAGTGCTGGAGGGGCGGGGCCTGGATGCAGGCTCTCTGGAGGGATCTAGGAGGGTGGGGGCTCAGTGGGTCTGGAGCTTGAGGTGCGTTTCCTGTGAGGTTCTCACCACCTTCCTTAAACTGACTCTCCAAGTAAGAATGACAGGAAAGGGACAGGGAAGGGCTAGTGGCTCACACCTGTAATCCTACCTCCCCAGGAGGCTAAGATCTGAGTATCTCCATTCAAAGCCCAGGCAGGAAAATCTGTGATGTTCTTATCTCCAATTAACCACCAAAAAGCCAGAAATGGAACTTTAGCTTAAGTGGTAGAATACTAACAGTACTAACAGCACTTAACAGCTCTCAGGCCCTGAGTTCAAGCTCCAGGTTGTGTGTGTGTGTGTGTGTGTGTGTGTGTGCACGCGCACACGAAAAAAAATAGGAGGAATCAGGCATGGTGGCTTTTGCCTGAAGTCCTAACTATTCAGGTTGAAATTTGAACTGCAATAGTTAAAAGCCAGCCTGGACAGGAACGTCTGTGAGGTTCATCTCCAGTTAACCATCAGAAAGCTGGAAGTGGAGCTGTGGCTCAAGTAGTAGAGCACTGACTTTGAGCAATAAAACTAAGGGACATTGACTAGGCCCTGAGTTCAAGCCTGGCAGTACTAGCACCAGAAAAAAGGAGGAAGAGTGGTGTCATTCTTAAGCTGCTGTGGTTACAGGTCCCATTTTCACCTTAAAAACAAGATTCTGTTTCCATTCTAGGTGAATGTAAACACTTTAAAGAGAAATTCATGAAGTGTCTCTATAACAATAATTTTGAAAATGCTGCGTGCAGAAATGAATCAAAAGAATACTTAGAGTGCAGAATGGAAAGGCAAGTACAAGCTAACAATTATGATTTCAGCTTTTTTCCAGAGTCTTTTTTTTTTCTCTCCAAACAGAAGCCATTATGGTATGCATTATTCGGGCTTGAGGTTAGTTTGTATTTTTCAGAACTGTAGATGTTTGCTAGTGGCATTATGAACTTGTTCTAGAAGCTGTTTGGCAGCCTTGGAGACCTTTCTGTTGAGAGGTACCGTTACACATGATTGTGTTCCTCAAAGCACCTGCTTTCCAAACTTGGGTGCTGCTAACCTGTCATTAAGGTTTCAGAGTCATAGAAAACTGCTGACTGAATGGAGAGATGTGGAGACTATAGCTTGATTTCTTTCATAATCTCAGACCATAAAAATACACACTGTGTTGCTTGGTTCTTCTGGGAGCTATTGGAATATGGCAGTGATGAAAGATGAATGGTTCTACCTGCCTTGCCAGAGTTCATGTTAAATAAAACAAGGAAAACTGGAATTTAGGGCTGGGAATGTGGCTTAGGGGTAGAGTGATTGCCTGGCATGCATGAAGCCCTGGATTCGATTCCTCGGTACCACATAAACAGAAAAAGTTCTAAGTGGCACTGTGGCTCAAGTGGTTGATGTTAGTCTTGAGCAAAAGAAGCTCAAGGACAGTGCCCAGACCCTGAGTTCAAGCCCCACGACTGGCAAAAAAAAAAAAGAAAAAGAAAGAAAGGAAGGAAGGAGAGAGAGAGAGAAACTGGGATTCAGAAAGCTTTCCTTGAAAATAAGAACTATGCCGGGCGATGGTGGCTCACGCCTGTAATCCTAGCTACTCAGGAGGCTGAGATCTGAGGATCTCGGTTCAAAGCCAGCCCGGGCAGGAAAGACCGTGAGACTCCTATCTCCAATAAACCACCAGAAAACCGGAAGTGGCACTGTAGCTCAAGTGGTAGAGCGCCTGCCTTGAGCTGAAGAGCTGAGGGACAGCGCCCAGGCCCAGAGTTCAAGCCCCACGACCGACCAAAAAAAAAAAAGAAAATAAGAACTATGCTAATCCTTACTGGGAAGAAGCCTGTAACCCAGAAGTGCTTCATGGTGGTCAGAGCTTGCTTTTGGTTTTCTTTTTTGAGGCCATGATCAGCTTATAGAGGAATTTAGTCTCTGCACAGTTGTCTGCTAAGGCAGGTTTTTTTGTTTTGTTTTATTCTTTTATGCCAGTATTGGGGCTTGAAATTGGGGGTTCTACCATTTGAGCCACACCTCCACTTCTGACTTTCTGCTGCTTAATTGGTGATAAGAGTCTCATGGACTTTCCTGCCCCAGCTGGCTTCGAACTGCAATCCTCAGATGTCAGCCTCCTCAGTAGGATTATAGGAGGTTTGAGCCTCCCAAGTTCCTGGTGTGGGTGTGGACATCTTTGCAGATCATTTTCCACTGCTTAACCAAATCCTAGAGGCTGATGTGAAACACCATTGGCTGGTGGCATTCTAAGGCCCCCTTCCCCGTAAGCAGCCCTCTTCTCCCTGCACTTGTGAGCAGGCCAGGTAAGGGCCCATGCCACACTGGGCTCTCATGTCCATGGTTTTGCCTAAGCCAGCGGGAGGTGGGCACCACCGGTGGGGAGAAGGTTTCTCAGGGAACCAGGAGTGGCCCTGGCAGGCATGCCAAAGGGTCACTAAGCTACGTGCCTTGCTCCTCAGGAACACTTTTGTAAAGGCCTGGTGACCAGAGGTATGGTCGTGAATGACTCATGTGTCTGCCCCAACATTTAGGGTGCTAGGTGTCCTGCTTTGTCCCCTTCTCTCCCAGCCTTGGTCCCTCCTGGGTCCCAGGTTCCATGTATAGCCCTGTGGACACCCAGTGGTGTCCAGGCCCTGAGTGTCTGCTTGTGTGCTGGGGAGGGCGGGCTGCAGAGAGGCCCCAGTGTGGCTGGGTGGGCAGCCAACCAGCCTCTCTCCAGGACAGTGCGAGTACCAGGAGCCCCTTGCTCTACTCTGCCCTCCATGGTGACAGCTTCCATGTCTCTTGCAGGCAACTCATGGCTCAGGAGCCACTGGAAAAGCTGGGCTTTGGAGACTTGAAGGACAGGAAGACGGAGGCCAAGAGCTAATTTTCATGAGAAGTTGACTACATCGGTGTCTATGGCATCCAGAGCAGAGCACGTGGTCCTGTGGCCTGCAGCTGACAGGGTCCTGATGCTCCCTGGGGAGCCACCAAGGCATCTCTCTGGGGACTCCCTTCAGTCCCTGTCCTGTCATACCCACATCCTCCTCCAGTGGCTCTTCTTTATATCACGTGTGTCGCAGGGTCCTGGGGCTCCTGGCAGAGGCAGGAGCACTGGAGGGGTGTCCCACTCAGAGTGGCAGTCACCCCACAACGCAGTGTCCTGTCTGCCTGGCCCAACGTGCTCATCATGCTTCCACGCCAGCCTGCCACCCTCCTCCTGGCAGGGCGCCTTCTTCTGTGCCAGCCCCCTTTATACTCCTGGGATTTGAACTTGGATTCATGCTTGTTAGGCCGGCACTTTGCCTCTTGAACCACCCCACAGCCCTTTTTTGCTTGAATTATTTTTTAGGTAGGGTCTGGCAATTTTGCCCAGGGCTGGCTTTGGCCAGTGATCCTCCCATCTCAGCCTCTCTAGTAGTTGGAACTACAGGCATGTACCACCATAGCTGGCTCATTTTCCTCTTTTCCTTGCCTGCCCCCCCCCCCAGGCCCATCTTAAATCTGGAATAGGAAGTGAAAAAATGACACTTGGGTTTTTTTGTTTTGTTTTTGCTGGTCCTGGGGCCTGAACTGAGGGCCTGGGTGCTGTCCTTAAGTTCTTTTGCTCAAGGCTAGTGATCTACCACTTGAGTCACAGCATCACTTCTAGTTTTCTGATGGTTAATTGGAGATAACAGTCTTACAGACTTTCCTGCCTGGACTGACTTTGAACCATGATCCTCAGATCTTACCCTCTTGAGTAACTATGATTATAGGTATGAGCCACTGGTGCCCAACTGATACTTGGGTTTTGATATATCTGCCTAATATTTTGTTGTGTCTGGCCAACACCAAGCATCCATAAGCAAAGGATCATTTTCTAACCTGTATCATTGTGTATTTATAAAATGACTACACACTTGGTTCCTATCACTCACATGTCATACCCTGAGTTGTTAGTACGTTGGTAGATTTGGAATTAGGCTGTTCATTGTCTTTCCATTTTTCACTCTGTCATAGCAACCCCCATTTCTGTACTACATGATGGCTGTGTTAAGTAGTCATCTCAGGTACCAGCCAGTACTGAGCAGTGTTCTTAGCCCAGGCGGTTTTCAGTGGCCTGAGGGCTGTCTTAATGCTAGGGCAGGATATGGGGGGAGTATCATTGCTGTGTGCCTGAGTTCAAAGCCACAGATCTACTAATCCCAGGAATGGGCCTGTGTACCCTCAGACTTGCCCCTTCCCAGGCCTTGCAGGCCCATAGGCCCCCTTCTCCTCTCCTGATTGGCTGATAGAGGAGGTTGATGGGCAGGGGGGAGGGAGCAGGCTGGTGGCCTGTTTTCAAGCCTATGAGTGCTTGCAACCTGGGAAGCTTCCTAGGTCCCTGCTGTCTTAGGCCCAGGCCCTTTTGGTGATAGGCTTTGTTAAACCCCTCAAGTACTTCCTGTGGCTAGGTCTGTTTCCTTGGGTTCACTGCTCCATGTGGCTGGAGCGTGGCTTCCCAATACACGGCAGATTGGGCATGCTATTGATTAATGGTCTCATTAGTTTCCGGTCAACCAATCAACCGTAAGAGCTGGGTGTGGTTCACGCCCAGCTATAACCCCAGCTCTCTGGAGGTGCTGTAGGAAGATTACAAATTCAAGACTTAAGTAGCAAGACAGTCTCCAAACAAAAGGCCCTGGTGCAAGTGGAAATAATTGAATGGTGGGTCAGCAGGGAAGGGGACAGCTTTTCCTTACTCATTTGCCCAGACACCTGGGGCAGAATGCCCAGCGTGACAGCCACCATCATGATCGTGGCTGCTGACAGATGAGATCCACTGAAGTTTTGCAAAGCAACACGAGATAAGCCTGAAGAGCTCCCCATGCACATGGCCACTACCAGGACAGCTTTACTGAGGTGTCCCCCACACCACTTGGGGGACAGAGTGTTGCCTGCCCGGGGGCGGGGGGGGGATGAGCAGTGGGGAAATGGTATCCCCAGCTGAGGGTGCACCACGCGGCAGGCACTCGACTCCTCAGCTGGCAGGCCTGAAGGACGAGGGGACGGCTGGGAGCAGTGAGGCCCAGTCAGCAAGCGACCCTGGGACAGACTTGGATGCCAAAGGCCTGCAGGTTAGCCTTGTGTGGCCAGGGGCCACATCTGCCCTCCGTGGGCAAATGTTCTGTTGTGTGAAGTTATTTTCAAATAAAATGTTGCAAGTGTTTTTTGTAGGGAAGGTCGTGTATGCATGAGCTCTCATTTCAAAATAGCCGGCGAGGCTCTCAGCAGTCCCAGAAAGGGGGCACAGCGCCACCACCTGGCCATCTGCGTCCCTGCACTGGAGCACAGCTGTTGCAGGCAGAACCAAGCCCACAACCCCACCCCTGAGGAGGCTGAGGCAGGAGGCCAGCTTGGGTTGTGGATATATAATACCTCACAGCGCCTGCGCATCCCTGTGTTCTCCAGGGTATACCAGGAGCAGCCATGGTTGACACCTGGGCCTGTGGTCCCCTTCCCAGAAGGGCGTGAGTAATCAGAGGCCAGCCCGGCCCCTGTCCCAGGAATGCTAGTGACCATGTGTCATCATGCATGCAAGTCACATCGGGATGGCTACCCTTGGTGCCCTGTGTCTGCTGTGGCGGCTGGATGGGAGCATGGGACCCGCGCATCTGAAGGGATTTGGGGACATGGCCCTCCCACTCCCTCCGCTGCCAGCTGCCGGAGGCACTGCGCCCCTGCGCTGCAGCTCCACTGTTTTCATCCAAGCCAAGGAGCAGCTCACACCACAGCTTGTTTCCCTTGCCTGCTGCCCCAGGCAGCCCACAGCAGCCCCACTGGCCACCCCCCTCTGACGCCATCTATGGACACTGATGGTTGGAGGGTTACAGCCTTGGGGACACTGTTCTGTCCTGCACATACCCAGATGTGGGGAACAGCACTGGTCCCCAAGCTTGGCTAGGAGGGTTCCTGGGATCTAAGGTCCTAAGGTCCACTGTGGTGGGCCCCACTCCCTCCGAGACAGCAGAGCTCCTGGCAGCTGGTGGCTTCTTCATTGTCCATCTTCTCCACACTCCCCCCCCACCCCCAGAATCACATGGAACTTCTAAGGACTGAGTTTTGGTTTTACCAAACCAAAGGCCTCTCCCTTTGCCAGCTCAGCAAGTGCTGTGCCACCTGAGCCACACTGCAAGCCTGCCACCCCATTTTGTTTCTGTTGTTTTCAGGTACGGTATTGTTAGCTCTGTGAGGCTGGACTTGATCATCCTGCCTTTGCTTCCCAAGGAGCTGAGTTGTGCACCACCACACTTGGCTCAAGACCAAATTTTACCTCTAATATTTTTAAAAATACAACTTTATGGTTAAGGTGTTAGAGTGGTTGCCATTTCATAAGTCACGTAATGAGTGCTTTTTTGTTGTTGTTGTCATCGGTCATGGGGCTTGAACTCTGGGCCTGGGCACTGTCCCTGAGCTCTTTAGCTCAAGGTGAGCACTCTACCAATTGAGCCACAGCGCCACTTAGGGTTTTCTGGTGGTTAGTTGGAGATAAGAGTCTCATGGACTTTCCTGCCCAGGCTGGCTTTGAACCATGATCCTCAGATCTCAGCCTCCTGAGTAGTTAGGATTACAGACGTGAGCCACTGGCATCCAGCAATGAATACATTTCTTTTTTTTGGAAAATGTCACCTCTTCCTTTGCTTCAGTATTATTTTTGTAATCCTTGGTGCTGCAGCTTGCTAACAAATGACTCCCCCCCACCTCCCCCCCCCAAAAAAGTACTTAGAAGATGGTGACAGGAAATTTAAACCATCCACCACAGCGTGCCAGTCCCAGTCCCCAAAGCATTATCTATCTGGTGATCTACACAAATATGGAGAGATGCTGGCCACTGCTCAGCAAATTGTTGGTACAGAATAGTCTGTGGCTCTTCCTCTCTTGCATTTTATGGCTCTAGTTTATAACTAGCATGTATCATTTTTATAGAAACAAAAAAGTCATTAGTTTAAAGAAGCTCATTGTGTTGACTTGTACTTTTATAACCCCTCTAAGTTAGATGCCTGTGGTAATATCATATTACATCTGATGCCCATTGTATGCGCTGTTCGGGGTATAGGCAGACATTGTGGACACTTCTGGTTGGGACACATGAAGTGGTGCTGGAGTGCAGGGCCCTGGAGAAGGCCTGGCCCTCAAGGCCTCTGTCCACCACGGGCTTCCTTCTGTCTCCTATCCTGCAAATGGGATCTCAGCACCTAGTGCTCGCATTAAATCTGCTATCAAGATGAATATCTTTTTTGTTGTTGTTGGGTCATGAGGCTTGAACTCTGGGCCTGGGCACTGTCCCTCAGCTCTTCAGCTCAAGACTAGTGCTCTACCACTTGAGCCACAGTGCCACTTCCACTTTCTAGTGGCTTATTGGAGAGAAAGAGTCTCACGGACTTTCCTGCCTGGACTGGCTTTGAACTGTGATCCTCAGATCTCAGCCTCCTGCGTAGCTAGGATTACAGGTGTGAGCTACCAGTGCCTGGCTAAGATTAATATCTTTGTTTTTTTGGTTTTTTTTTTTTTTGGGTCCGGTCGTGGGGCTTGAACTCTGGGCCTGGGCGCTGTCCTTCAGCTCTTCAGCTCAAGGCTAGCACTCTACCACTTGAGCCACAGCGCCACTTCCGGCTTCTTTTCTTTTTGCTTATGTGGTACTGAGGAATTGAACCCAGAGCCTCAGGCATACAAGGCAAGCACTGTACCACTGAGCCACCTTCCCAGCCCTAAGATTAATATCTTAATGGGTGAGAATGCAGGGATTTTTATTATTGCCAGTGACATGACAGCCACTGAGCAAGTGACTGTCATAATCCTGCAGGTTTCCCGCCTCTTCTACAGGAGACAAATCAAATCTCACAGCTCTGGGCTCACAAGGTTGATGAAGGAGAGTGCTGGAGGGCAGAGGTAGCTCCTGGGCAGAAGGTCTGAGCCGGCATTAGCACCCATGATCAGCTGCTTCCATGGGCACCTGTCCTGCTGCAGGGCCCAGTCATGTTCCCCACCAAGTTTGATTAGGGAAGAGGGGCATCCAAGGCCCCTAGCCCACCTGGGCACCCTGGCCAGTGGCACCAGCCCAGGCCGGAGGAGGGGCATGTGGTCTTCCTTGCTGATGGCAGGAGATGAGGGGGTCAAGGCTCAGCTGCCCCTTCCTGGAGTGAGGCCAGGGCTCCATGATGTCCTTCCCTTGTCTGCCTGGGTTTGCTGTGATTGGCACTAATGGCAGTTTCTCTGTATTTTGGAGGGGTCTGTGGCCTTTCTGGTTTGAGCTTTTGCTCTCTGAGTAGGTGCTCTACTATTTGAGCCTTACCTCCAGTCCTGTTTTGATACTAGGGTTTGAACTCAGGGCCTTGCACTTGCGAGGCTGGTGCTCTACCACCAGCTTTTTGCAGTTTCCTTTTTCTTTGGGGGGGGGTCCGGTCATGGGGCCTGAACTCTGGGCCTGGGCGCTGTCCTTCAGCTCTTCAGCTCAAGGCTAGCGTTCTACCACTTGAGCCACAGCGCCACTTCCGGCTTTTTTTTTCTGCTTATGTGGTGCTGAGAAATCGAACCCAGGGCCTCATGCATGCGAGGCAAGCGCTCTACCACTGAGCCACCTTCCCAGCCCTTGCAGTTTCCTTTGAACATACAGCCTTACAGATTTTTCCAGCCAGGCTGGCCTCAGCCTGCAATACTCTAGATCTTTCTTGGCCTCCTGAATAGCTAGGATTATAGGCATGAGCCCATGGCTCTGGCTTCATGTTTTTGGTTGGTTTGGGGTTTTTTTTTTTTTGTTTTTTTTTTTTGTTTTGCCAGTCCTAGGGCTTGAACTCAGGGCCTAAGCACTGTCCCTGAGCTTCTTTTGCTCAAGGCTAGCACTCTACCACTTGAGCCACAGTGCCACTTCCAGCTTTTTCTGTGTATGTGGTTCTGAGGAATTGAACCCAGGTTTCATGCATGCTAGGCAAGCGCTCTACCACTCAGCCACATTCCCAGCCCCTGGCTTCTTCTTCTTTTTTTTTTTTTTGTATCCCACCAGAGTTGTTTTTCTGGAGCAGGCCCCTCTTACCAGGCCCCTTATCCTGGCCTTTCTCAGGTGCTGTAGCTGCCAAGGCAGGCTTCTTCTACCTCTCCTTGGCTGGGCCTTGCACCACACCCTGTTCTGGCCAGAGAAGGACCCACCCCTGGGGCAAAGGACAAAAGGACAAAGCGGGGGATGGGCATTGTGGCAGGCCAAAGGCTTGTGGTGCAGGCAGCTGAGATAAAGAGGTGGTAGGGGCAGCCATGCCCAGGAACTGAGTTGCCAGGCCATGGGAAGGTGGGAGAGAAACCTCCAAGTCCTACCCCAGATACCCCACCAGGCAATGCATGGAGGCCTGGGCATGTGCGGTGCTGTCAAGCGGCCCCTGCCTGGAGGAGCTGGGCACACCACTATGGGGACACACCTATGTGTGTGTCATGGCCTAGGACAGCCACTTGGCTCTGCCACCAGGAGCCCCTGAGAACTCTAGCCCCTGGGGTCTGGGTGAGGAGCACAGGGAGGGGCCAGACTGGCAGTAGCTGTGGAGGGGAGAAGAGGAGGTCTCCCCCCACCCTTGAATGGGAGCCCAGTTCAGAGACCAAAGAACCACCCATCTGTCCCCTTTGCCGCAGCCCCTGTGAAAGCAAGTCCAGAGCTTCTGTCACCCCTGGTCATAGGTTTACATAACCAGTAGAGAATGTTTAACAGGGCTGCTGCCCTGAACAGCCTGGGGTGAAGGCAGATACAGAGCAGAAGCTGAGCGTCTAGGCTGGATGGGTGTGGGGTCGGTGCGGGGACAAGACCTGGCAGTGAGGGGTCCCCTCACACAGATGGCCAGGGAGTAAACCTCCCCACCAGGCAGGGCCTCAGTGACGGCCCTTAGTAGGGCCCTTGCTGCAGTGTTCTAGGGAGTTAAAACAGAAAGAAATGTGTTCCCCTCACCTGCCAGCCATACCTGGACACACGGAGTTGCTGTGTCCTGTTGCCCCCTCCTGGAAAGTGGTGGTACTGCAGCTCCCAGGAGGACTACTGGAGGTATGTGTAAGGAGTTGTCTTTATTTTTTCATTTTCATTTCATTTTGTTTTTGTATGCAAGTTTTGGGGCTTGAACTCAGGGCCCCTGAGCACTATGCTTTAGCTTTTTTGCTCAAAGCAGGTGCTCTACCACTTAAACAGCTCTATGTCCAGCTTCTTTGGTGTTGTTGTTGTTGGTCATGGGGCTTGAACTCTGGGTTTGGGCACTGTCCCTGCGCTCTTCAGCTCAAGGTGAGCACTCTACTGCTTGAGCCACAGTGCTATTTCCAATTTTCTAGTGGTTTATTGGAGATAAGAGTCTCACAGACTTTCCTGCCCAGGCTGGCTTTGAACCTCATCCTCAGATCTCAGACTCCTGAGTAGCTAGGATTACAGACATGAGCCACCAAAGCCCGCCAAGAGTAAATTTTTGCTTGTTTTGTTTCTGGCTGGTGCTGGGGCTGGTACTTAGGGCCTGGGTGTTGTCTCTCAGCTTTTTTACTCCAGGCTATCACTCTACCACTTGAGCCATAGCTCCATATCTGATTTTTTTTTAGAGGGAGGGGCTGGGCTGAAAAATGAACTGTGATCCTCAAACCTCAGCCTCCTGAGTAGCTAGGATTGCAGCTGTGAACCACCAGCTCCTGGCTCAGCCCAGTCTTCTGCTGGTTAGAGATAGTGGTCTTTTAGATTGTTCTCCCTGGGCTGGCTTTGAACTGTGATCCTCAGAATAGCTAAATTACAGCCAGCCACTGGTTCAAAAGCAGTTTAAGTGTCCCAAGCCTACAATGAGTGTTCCCTGCTGTCAAGGGCCCCCAGCCCCACCTGTCACTGCCATGGACACTCTAGATAAGCCCTCCTTGTGGAGCTTCAGGAAAAGATGCCCGAGTCATCTTGGCCCTGGGGAGGTGGCTCTGTCCCCACTCCCTGCTCCACACACACCCTGGGCCTCTGGGCAGCAGGAATGTGGCTCCTTGGCAGCCATCCTGGGGACTCTGCCTGGCTTTGAACCTCTGTTGAGCAAAACTACTTGGAAACACTGTGCTACAGATACCTTGCCATTCATTTTTTTTGCCTCTGAGTGAGAAGCAAATCCTGAGTGGGGGCCTCCACTCAACAAGAGCAGCGGAGCTTCAAACAGGAACTGCAGCCCTGCAGTAAGTCCCTGCCTTGCAAGGTTGTGATCATTGTCATCTAAGCCTGATTCTTGTAGGTGCCTGGCCCCTCGAGGGGGGCGGTCTGGGGCCTGGCATGGAGACAGAGGGTTATGGCCATAGCCACAGCAGCCCAGTCCTTCTGGCAAGGCCCGGAGAGGGATGGAGGCCCTAAGAAGCCAGCATGGCTGGCTCGGGCCTGGTCCTGGCTCTGTGCCCCTCAGCTCACGTGTGGGGAAGAAAGCGAAGGTCAGGTCGTTCTCTCCCTGCTCCCTCCCTCTCCAGGATGGATCTGGGGCTAGGTCAATTCATAAACCAGTACTTGGTTTTGTGTTCCTAAATTCCCCCAAAGACAGGGCACCTGCCCTGTTCCCAGAAACCCAAGGGTCTAACTTCAGGAACCTTCCAGCCCCTTCCCCAGTATCCTCCATCTAACCAAGACCACATGCCAGTTGGGGTTCAGCCTGCAGGAGGGCTGTGCAGACCTGGCCAGTGGCTGGCCCCGGCTGTTTCTCTGTCCTGGGTCCTGTCCTGTGCTGCCCCCTGGTGGGCAGGGACAGCCCTGGGCATGCAGCTGGCACTCCGGTGGGTTTGGGATGAGCAGACCTTTTTATGCACTTGCCTTGCCGGGCAGGAAGATGGTGGGGGCAGGGACGGAGGAGGGGGAGGATGTGCTGGGAAGAGGGGAGGGTAGCTGGGGACCTGAGCCACAGCGTGGCCTTTGCCTAGCTCTGCCTGGTAGCTCTGATGCAGACAGCTGGGACCCTCCCCCTCTAGGAGAAGTCCTCTGCAGCTGCAAACAGGTGTGTCTCCCTCAGGGCCACAGGCAGGGCAGAAAGGCACCTGGGGGCAATGGCGGGGACTCTGGGCTCTACCCATTTCCGGTGTTGCTGACAATCAGGATTCCTAGATTGCAGACACACCCTGGTCTCTGTTCACCTGCCTGAGGTCCTGCTGGCCTAGGACACTAATCAAGTGTCATCTCAACTTGATGACATCTCAAAGGCCCTGTCTCCAAATAAGGTGACATCCATAGGTCCCTGGGTCAAGACACCGATATATGCTTTGGAGGACTCCACTGAGCCAGGTTGAGCTAGCATAGAAGGGAGCCCACCCTCATGTGCAGCTGCTCTGGGCGAGTTGGGGTCCCTCTACATTGTGAGCCAGGTCCCTCTAGGCTGTGGGGCCACCTCCTCTATCAGGCACCACAGCTGGGTCTGCACCTGCCCTCCAGGGATGGAGTCCATGTCACGTGGCCTCCACCGGGCTGCCACCATCTGGTCTTCATTTCTCAGCAGCCTGGGGCTCAGCCCACTCTTCCTCCCTGTCCCAAAACTTGCAGGCCCAGAGGGCTGAAGGACAGGTGTGGACCAGGCTGCCTGGAGTCCCAGCTGGGTGTGGTCAGTGGGCGGGTCCAGACACAGAACCCAAAAATGCTGAGCCCCAGGACAAATGGAGTTTCTAAGCTGGATCGGCAGAGGGGCATGGAGCTGGGGAGATTCAAGGAGGGGGTACAGGGTCCCCAATATGGGATCAACTCTTGCTTCCTGCTCTTAGAGATCTAGTCTGTAAGACTGGGCGCCGGTGGCTCACATCTGTAATCCTAGCTACTCAGGAGACTGAGATCTGAGAATCGCCGTTCAAAGCCAGTCCAGGCAGGAAAGTCCGTGAGACTCCTATCTCCAATAAACCACTAGAAAACCAGAAGTGGTGCTGTGGCTAAAGTGGTAGAGAGCTAGCTTTGAGGTAAAGAGCTGAGGGACAGTGCTCAGGCCTAGAGTTCAAGCCCCATAAATGACCAAAAAAAGAAAGAAAAAGAAATCTAGTAATCTGTAAAGGTACTTATTACCTGACATATGTAACTCCCCATCCCCACAGCAATAATTTAAAACAATAAATTTAAAACAATCTAGTATGTGAACTGTCAGCTCACAATGACAAGAAAGGGACTCTTTTCTTTTTTTGGTCAGTTGTGGCTTGAACTCTGGGCCTGGGCGCTGTCCCTCAGCTCTTCAGCTCAAGGCTAGTGCTCTACCACTTCAGCTACAGCGCCACTTCCAGTTTACTGGTGGTTAATTGGAGATAAGAGTCTTAAGGACTTTCCTGCCCAGGCTGGCTTTGAACCCTGATCCTCAGATCAAAGACTCTTAAAAGGCATGAGCCACCAGCACCCAGCAAGAAAGGGACTCTTGGAAGGAGACTGGGCGCTGGGCACCAGCACGCTGGACCTTGTAAGTCCAGGCTCTGGGCTGGGTGTTGGGGGCTCTGGGGCCTTGTGTGCATCCTTACTGTTGGGAAGAGGTCATCTTTGAGAGACTCTGCCTTGCCTGTCAGGGGGCTTCAAGGAAGAGGTGGCCAGCAGGAAGAGGGCTCAGGGTTCCCCTGTCATTGGTCCTTACACTGCTCTGCTGGCAGTGTACAGGCTGAAGCCCAGGCCCATCTCCAACTGGGTATCTGCAGTCCTGTAAGAGACCAATTCCCAGTAGAAGCTGCCTGCAGTCCTACTATGTGCAGCCTCTTACAGACCCACTATGCTCTTTCCTGATATGTACAATCCCCTCTGGGCCTACTGTGTGCAGCCTCCTGCAGACATTCTGTGTGTAATCCCCTGTAGACTTACTATGTGCAACCTCCTGCAGACCTACTGTGTGCAACCCCCTGTAGATTTACTATATGTGGCCCCCTTCTGACTTACTATGTGCAGCTTCTTTCAGACCTACTTACATGACTCCCTACACACCTACTGTGTGCAGCTCCTGAGCTCAGGAGGTACTGCAGCAGACAAGTCCTATCTCCAATGGATTACTCTGCCCTGACCAGAGAGGGCCCTGGGCAAGAGAGCAGGGACAGGGGGTCCTCTGGCAGGACGACAGCAGCAGGCAGGCTGTCGACATAGCACCCTCACCAGCCCCTGTGGTTCCCAAGCTGCTCTTGGCCAGTACTGGGCTGGGTCTGGCCACTCAGAGCCATGTCTGTGTGCTCATTCCCCTGCACCCCCAATCCTCACCCCTCCCTGTCCCAGCCCGTGGACAGTCAGAGAAGGCACAGGGCTCTGGAAGCTGGCCAGCAAGCAGACCTTGCACCCGCTGTCCCTTCTGGCCTGTGGGCCACCTGCTCGTTCAGCACAGCCTCCCTGACCCTCCAACGGCCTGGGCCTGCTGCTTTGCAGGCTACATATCTCTTCCTTTTACCATTTTATTTACCCCAGTCCTGCCAGGAAGAGGTGAGCTGCAAGTGTAGGAACCTCTCCAGACCTCTCTCTTCCTGGCCCGTGAGGCTGAAATGAGAAAATGCACGTGCAGGACATGTATGCCGGGGGTGCGGTTATGGTGAACGCAAGTCTGTGTGTGTCATCCTTCACGCTCATGCTGGGTGGCAGGTTCCCAGCCTGGCACAAGGCCCAGAGATGGAAATGCCACCTGTCCCTACCCAAAAAGGCTCCAGTGGGATGCAGGAGAAAGACAAGCAACCAGTTAAAGGGAGAGAGCCCCAATTGCACAGGGCTGGAGAATGCGGAAATGTATTTGCTCTGTGGTTGGTGACTATGTGCTGCCTGCAGCTGGCAGAGCCAACTTCCATCTGATATGGGCCAGGAGGTAGGGGGCAGAGGCCACCATGTGCGCACAGATCTCTGTGGAGGGCCACGGGGCAAGGGCTGAGTGAGATGCAAACGCCCATACCCCTCATCTCAGCCTGGCTGGCCACTTCCAGACACAACTCCATCTGAAGCACTTGCAAGGTCTTTGGTCCATGCTGGAAGGTGCTAAGGGGTTGTTCACAGGGTGCATTAAAACCCAAGCCAGTGGCTGGGTGAGCAAATTATTGTTCACATGAGCTTGTGTGTGTGTGTGTGTGTGTGTGTGTGTG